GTAAACATAATTTGTGAAGGGCTTTTGATTTTCTTTTCGACAATGACGAAAAAGTGGCTTCATCTTAAAAACATACCCATATCAAGGCTAGAGTGCAAAACCCATACCCTATTTATGACCAAAACAGCTGAAAAACTATACCCTTTGGGGCCGCACATACCTATATAGCCCATATAAGGGAGTACCCCCCCCCCCCAGGATTTTTATGTCATCTGTAATCTACTACTGAACAGATGCATGGCAACATGGAATCTATTTGTTAATAGTTTAATAATTTATTATAATTTTTCATAAAATTATAAATTTTACGGGCAAGTGACTGATACTCAGACATTTAATAAATTTATATATTTTTTACACTTTGATAATATATCAACTGAATGCTGGCACTGGAAGTAGTCAATTACAATTTTGGTCACTGATTTAAGAGTTAACATGTCTAACTGCAGAAAGGCCCCCTCCCAAGGACCCCTGATATCTATGCATTACTACAGGCTTACTTTTAGCTTTCAGACTGAAAAATAAAATTAGTGTATTATGATACACTGCCATTGAATCATTTGGTTAATTATGAGGGAGCATTAACTTTTCATTGTAAAATAATGTTGGAATAGGAAATAATTTAGCAAGCAAAATTATGTGACAGAAAAATGTTCCAGTGGAAGTATTGATGAACTAGAAGAGGAACCTATGTTTCTAGTTAATGTTACACCTTGAGCCTAAGTAAAGTTTTACAGTGCAACGGCTTCAGCTGAACATTTTTCTGTCATCCAAAAAAAAAAATGGCTGCTATAAAATTGGGATGAAATTGTCTCACACTTGATTCACCTTTACAAGCAGCAATTTGATTGGTTGTTCATAGTAGCCCAATGTGATTGGTGTGACATACAAACATCTGACGACATGATTGATCATCGCAGTTATACACTAGTACACATATCTATATATTACCTATCTTCATATAGTACAAACATCTCCCTCTCACTCTACCACTCTCCCTCCCTCCCTCCCTTCCTCACTTACTCACTCATAATATAGACCCTTTTCATAAATGGCTGCCAATTGAAAATTCTTTTGTATGCACTTAAATTAGCCTCACTAAACTCGTTTGGGAGTAAATTATAATTCTTTTGAAATAGCAACTCAAAAACAAGGTTAGTCAGGCTAATTTTATTACTTACAAAAGAATTTATAATTGGCAGACCTTCATGAAAAAAAGTCTTTAGTCAAACTCTAAGAGGTATTTTCTTTTCAAAAAAGTAACTCAAAAATTCTTAACTGCTTACTACAGGTTGTGTTTAAAAGCAAAATTGCGAAAACAAATTAATCACCTCTTAAAGGACCAGGACGTCTTGATGAATTTTGACTTTGAACTGAGTTAGAAAATTCATCCCATTGGTTGGACATTTGCTGCATGGATGGAAAACCTAGAAAAATTTCAAAACATACAGTCAAACCTGTATGTAGCGGCACCATATGCAATTGTATGATAAATATAATTGCATGGACCTGCCATTTTCAACATAATATTAGCAGCTTATAAAACATTGAACTTATTTAATAGTGAGGAAATTGTTATGAAAATTACTTTAACACTTCAACTCAGATTATTGGGAAAATGTTTATACAGTGCAACCAAATTTACTAATTTGCACTCACTGAAGCACAATCACCTGCATGTTAGTAGTTAACTTGAAGTAACATGTATTTTAATTAACAATGACAAAACATTTATTCCAATTCCTTTAACACTTTAACATACATAGAAAAATGTTTAGTGTTTTGGTTCACCAACTTTGACGTTAATTCCATGGGAACCTTTCTTGACAACTATTTGTTTACATATATACATTTTGCCGATAAAAGTAAAATATAAAACTTTAAGGTAAAAAGCAGTTTAAATTAAATCTAAACGTTTTTGATCTGTTTGATCATCATCAGAGTGAATACATTTAGACTCAATTTTAACAGCTTTTTACCTTAAAGTTTTATTTGTTTACACTTTTTGGATTTTAATCAGTGTTTTTAAGTTTTTGTGATAGATTTGTATTATTTCCATATAATTTGGCAACAGTTAATCGCTTCGATCAGACATAAAAATATTTAATCATCATGACTTAATGCTAATAATATTTAAAGACTGCAGATTAATGAATTTTAAAACAAGATCATTTTTCTTTATAAATTTCATGTTGTTGTGGATTCACTCTTAAGTTCTTTAAGGGAATGAAAAAATTAGGAACATTTTAAGATAGGAGATAGATCCAAGATAGTTGTTCTTTCAACAAGTATATTTGGCACCAGAATGTTATTGGACAGGTGCTGCTAGTGACAACTCAAGTGTCAGAATTTTATCAAACATGTTATTGTAAAACATTTCTGATGATACATTCCAATTCGATGGAAATACATGGTGACAGAATTGAATGTTCCAGCCAATGTTATTATTAACAACATAAGCACTTATAATTAAAAAGTAATATTTTGACAGCCACCTCTGAAGGCCTCTTTCTGGTCTTGAAAGGTTTAAAATCCTTTAATATATACTAGGCTGGTTGGCTAAAAAATAAAAAACCTTCTGGTTATCCCTGTTTTCATCCTATGGTCATATTGAATGTTATCCATAAAATGCCTTACTAGAAATCTCTGGTAAAACAACATTCCGGGTGCCACGGTCAGCCAGGGGATCCTTTCCTCCCGCCAGAAGTTGTTCAACAGTTGGAGGTAATTCCTTTTCCCAGAGCTCTTCATCTTGTGTTAACATATATGTCTGACCACATACAGCCCTCACCCTTCCAGTCTTAATATCCCGGATATAGATTCCTTCATTCTCATCTAGGGGAATGGCTTTCCTTCGTGCAACAACTTCAACTTCAACAGGAGGAACATATTCACTAGGTCCACGGATCATCCAGCGGTCACCAGGTCGTCTTGGCAGCTCTTTCTGTGCAAAGAATATATATACATGTTTAACGTAGAAATTGTTTGTCATCAAATTATGTTATTTAAATTATTTTTAAATCTGTGAGCCAGCTCTTTAAAGGCTTTACAAACTACTACAAATAAAAAATGCATCTTCATTCTAATATAAGTTGGTCAGAGGATAGAAAGATCTAAAAATAGGTTGGAAGTAAGAGACCAGGCTTTACCAGTCAGCTGGAAAGAAAAAGCAGATGTTTCTGAGTGGGCCACATGCTAAAATGAAACTGGAAAAATAGGAGATTTGTATTTAAATACTAAAAGAAACATTTACCTCTTTTTCATCAACATCATTAAAAGCTTCATTTGCTTTTAAAATTACTCCCTCATCCTCGCCAAGAATAAACACATCTTGGATGCCTTGCTCAAGCTTTTCACCAGGCAACAAGAAAAACGACTTCTCTCCCTGAAAAGAAATAGAGAACTTTTTATCATCCAACATTTATATACGTCAAAAATATATTTACAGTGGAAAGCACATACTTTCAGCATAAAATCGAGTGTGAGACAACTTTGTAAAAAAATCAAGACTGCGAGACTCACATAACCACGAAAAAATGAGACACAGCTGAGACCCGTGAAATTTGACAAAAATGTTGCGAGGCCTATGGTTTTTAAAGGACCATTCACCACCCTTTCTCTATAACAGCCCACTTTTATGTCCTGGTGGACGGTCCATACATTTACTCTTATTTCCTTGCATTACAGCACCAAGGTGGTTGTTGTGGATACGTTTGACTATAAAGTCCTATGTGAAGGAGAAGACATCTAGCTATAACTCTTATTTCAAGGATCATCAAATATATAAGACATAAATTATGTTTAACCCGCTGTTGGTTTATGGTACATTACATTGCTAACTAATGAATTGGCCAAGCTAGAAACTACCTTGAGGCATGCAAAAAATAAATAAGTCAATGTAGAGATGGTGATGTGAAGATCTACTACCTAGAATTTGTTTTAAAAAGGGTCTTGGTTCTTCAACTCCGAACACCAAAACATATTGTACCTTGACAAGCTTCTTTTGACCAAGTTGGGGTTTACCATCTTTATCGACTGGATCCAAAATGACACAGTACTGACGGTTGTTCAACGTTGTGATATCAACTACTCCAACAACCTGTTGCATGATGCAGATATGAAAGCACTAAATTTAATTTCATTTGGCAGAAATGCAAACTGATTTTCCTTATTCTAATAATTCATAAGCTGCGTAAAGTATGTTTGTGAGCACCTTCCTTGTTGACTTTTAAACTTCTGCAACTGTATGAATGACCTGAATAATACCATGAGTCAGTGAAGAGTTCTTACAGTAACAGAGTGGAAGAGGTGATTGTTAATCTATCATAGCAGGGTTCCAGATAAGTTTTCAAGGTATGGTGTCAATGAGGAATCCCATGGGTCAATCTCCAATGTCTTCCACCAAATCATCATACATTTTCTTATTAATTTGTCGGGTCATGTTGCTGACCTTGTCAGGTTTTTGACCTGAGACCCCTTGCTTATCTGGAACACTGTTATAGTCAGCTCAGACTGCAAGCTGAAAGAGCTAACTGATCATGTGAATAAGTTAGGTGATGAAATAAGCAATGAGTGCATTACCTCTTCATAAACATTTGGAATGTGAGCCTCTGTGTCTGCCATGGTGATTAACCACTCTTCTCCATTCTTCCGTAAAACACCTTTATCATCTTTGAATGTCCGTGTTGATCGAAGGTGTAGAGCTTTCTAAAACAAAAATCAAACAGGACAAAATGAAAGAATAATTAATTGAGGTTATAGGAATCCTCTCGTAATATTTCTTATGAGAGATAGAGACGACATATTTATAACAAGGTAACATGTCACACTTTTTTGGTCTGTGATTGGTGAGAAAATTCAAAATTGAAATCATGGCAATGAATTGCAATTTGGGTTTGCATTGCAACAAATCGCTGCTTTTAAACTTTTACCTTCTTTTCCCATTTGTACTACTCAGACAACTTTCCTGAACATTAGTTCATCTCTACAAGCTATTTTAAGTAAAAGGGAGGTTGATGCAGGTCATAAAAGGTAGGTAATTGTTTTTTTTTAATTAAAGGATTAAAAGCAGAAAGTTAATGAATAACTTAGTGCTAGCAAACAGAAATTAAATTAATTAATGAGAATGCCCAACCACTTGAAAGATATTTCTGAAGCTGCACATTCTCTGCAGGAAAATTATTTAAAAGTAACAAAAGTAGTCTAATTTTTAGACTAATTCCAGCAAGTAAGAAGACTATAATCTTTATCTTTGTAATTTTCAACTCAGTAAGGACCACAGTGTAAACTACTGGGTCACCGGGGTCAGTATTGTGTTTTCACCCACTAAAGTTTCTTTCTTCTTGACCTGCAACCTTAATTGAAAGGCTGTGTGCAAGAACATCCCCTAGATTTTTCGGCCATTTTTGAAAGTGCTTAAAACTAGCTGAATTTTGGCATGTGGGCTTCGTTTCACCTGAGAAACATTGCTCTGAAGTTTTTTTTCGCTGAGTTGCTTTTCGTTCTCGAGAAATAACGTATGCAAAAAAGGCACACAGGTTGGAAAAACCAAGTGGTTTATTGCATACGCAATATCTCGAGAACGAAGCGAACTTTAGCGCGAAAACTATGGGACATTGCTTGACATACCTGAACGAAACTGCATGCGAAATTTGGAGCGTTTTCGACAAAGTTCACCTTTGATTAAAATACCTGACGCCCTTTTCC